ACCTCCGAGCCGCATGTGGCAGATGACCAAGTAGATTTTGGAACATTATTTGATTAGTTTTTTATTTTTATAATTACTTTTAAAATATTTCTCTTGTATACATTTCTTTTATTTTATATAATAAATGTTTTCTTTGCGATTAATCTTTTTATTGTAATTTCATTTTAATTATATAAAAAAACCAAATTTATTTTTTTACAAAATTAAAAAACAAATAATAATAATTTTTTTTTAATAATATATATTACTTTTGCGCGACGAAACGTAAATCGTCGCGCAAAATCATTTAAAAAAACCCGTTAACAAATATATTTTAATCATGCGCGACGAAGAGTTTCGTTGCGCGAAATGTGAATGCGCGACGAATTGTTTCGTCGCGCGAAATTTGTATGCGAGACGAATCGTCTCGTCGCGCGAAATTTGTATGCGTGACGACTCTTTCGTCGTGCAAAGACTAATTGCGCGACGAATACGTTTTCGTCGCGCAAAGTTCATGTATCTCGCGCGGGGGAAGCCTCCGTCGCGCATTGTTTTTGCGACGACCAACCATTCGTCACGCAAATATTTGTGCGACGGACATTAGGGTCGTCCCGAAATGTTTTTTTTAACGAAATTGTAATACGTCGCACTGTTTTGCGCGACGAAAGATATTTATGCGTCGCGTAAATCCTTTCTTCACGAACTTTGCGCGACGGACTGTGCGCGATGAAACTTCTGTCGCGCATAATTATGTGCGACTAAAATCATCTTTGCGCGACGAAGATTACTTCGTCGCGCAAAGCCTAAAATGTTGTAGTGCAGGTAACAATCCATCATTCATTGCCCACTTTATTCATGCACTATCCATCAAATTCTCAGTCAAAGACATGGTTGCACTTCATTATTTTCTTGGTGTGGAGGTACTTTCAACCAACACAAGCCTGTTTCTCACTCAACATAAGTACATTCGTGATCTTCTTGACCGAACCAACATGTCTGGACCAAAAGAAACTCACACTCCCATGGCCACATCTCAGTCTCTCTGTCTTGCTTATGGTTCCCCTTCAATTGATGTCTCCTTTACAATTAACAAATTGGCTCAATTCATGCACTACCCCTCTGAAACACACTGGGCTGTCGCCAAACGTCTCCTCTGCTATCTCAAAAATACACTGCGTCATGGCCTTCTTCTTCGCCGCAATCAACCACTAAATCTTCATGCCTTCTCTAATTCTGATTGGGCAGGCAATCGAGATTATCGCACTTCCACCACTGCTTACATTGTCTATCTTGGCAACAATACCATCTCTTGGTGTTCCCAAAAACAAAAGACGATTGATCGCTCCTCCACTGAGTCTGAGTATCGAGCCATTGCCTCTACAACTGCTGAACTCACCTCGATATCCTCTCTGCTCACTGAACTTGGCATCACCATGTCTCAGCCTGACTTTATATTGTGACAACATGGGTGCCACATATCTTTGTGCCAATCTAGTTTTCCACTCTCGTATGAAATATATTGCACTCGATTCCATTTCGTTTGCGAAAAAGTTAGAAGTGGCGCTCTTCATGTTTCTCATATCTCCACCCATGACCAACTGGTTGACCTTCTCACCAAATCGGTAAGTCGATCCTGGTTTTGCCTTCTTCGATCCAAGATTGGTATCTCCTATGGGAGTACCATCTTGCGGGGCACATAAGATCCAATCACGCCATTCAACCACAAGCAGATCCTAGCAATCAAGATGGTTGACTTCTAATGATTTAGGATCTTGATTTTACACTGTTGTAATTGCTTCCATTTTGCCTAGTGTTTAGGAATTCATTCATTTGTTTCTGTAAAAGGTTCTCCTAGCCTCTGTATATATTCCTTTATCAAATCAATTGAAAATACACACTTTGACGATCCCTATGTAGGCTTCTCATGCTTCTCGTCTATGCAACTCCAACCCCCTCCCAAAATGTTGATGCTCGTTTACTTATTCTTTTTGTTTTTGTCTAACTTATATAGGCCTCTATATTGCTAGTTCCATCATGAAAACAAAGTAAAAGAAATTTTTTTTTGCTATTTAGTACGTGGAAACAATAACATATAGATTTCTCTTGATTTCTCCCACACCCTATTTATCATACATGATCCCATGCTATATATATAACTGTAAGCTTTGTTATCTCACTTGAAGTGATACTCCTTTTGTTGCCTCACCTTTACTTCATTTAATAATTTTCAAACGCCAATGGAAAGGGTTTTTTTTTTTTTTTTTTTTCTAAATGTATTGTTAATCATATTCAGGAGCTTCTTTTTGCTTGGAAATACATTTCGTTTTGTCATGGTAAGTACAATTGATTGCTACGCCACTAAGGCGACTATATATATGATCTTTTATTTTTATGATATTTACTAACCTCTTGGAACGTGTACTTGAGTGGTAGTATTTACAGGGCTGATCTTGACTGCAAAATTTAAATTGGGGTCCTCACATGGAAACGCCAATGGGAGGGGTTTTTTTTTTTTTTTTTTTTTCTAAATGTATTGTTAATCATATTCAGGAGCTTCTTTTTGCTTGGAAATACATTTCGTTTTGTCATGGTAAGTACAATTGATTGCTACGCCACTAAGGCGACTATATATATGATCTTTTATTTTTATGATATTTACTAACCTCTTGGAACGTGTACTTGAGTGGTAGTATTTACAGGGCTGATCTTGACTGCAAAATTTAAATTGGGGTCCTCACATGGAGAAATTATAGAATATGACTGTACCACCATGTCAGCTTGTGATACTACCATTCAAAATTTGCCACTTGTCATTTTTCAAAGTAAGTAAGTTTTTTTTTACAGTTGGATAAGAAACCCATTATTATTTTGGGAGATTCATTATTATACCCAATATAGAGACCCAAATTATAAAAATACCTCATATGAAATGGACTTTATAAACACACCCAAAGCTCATTTACAACATAACAAAGAGGCTTTTATCTTCTTATAAATTACAAAACTGTCATCAATTTCTTAAAACAAGCACAACCCCAAAATCTCATAAAAATACCCAAAACACTCAATAGGGCATCAAAGTAATTTAATAATCAATCTTAAATTCAATAAGGCCAGTTGTCATTTTTTGAGTTTTTTTTTTTTGTTTGTTTATAGAAATTCAATGATGTAGGGTTTATTTATAATATTAGTGCTAAGAATGGGTATATCATTAAATATCATATTTTTAAGAAAATAAAAAATCAGGAAAGAGACATAACCACCCACCCCCGACCCATTCTCTTACCCTGCGCAGCCTCCCCTCTCTCTCTCTCTCTCTCTCTCTCTGTGTCTCTGTCGCCTTCTCACGCAATTCAACAAATTAACCATACCCCAATCCTTGTTTCTTAGCCTTTTTGTGGCTACCAAAGACCCATCTATTCATTTGTTGATAGATGATATCTGAAAAAGGTTGAGGGGAGAGATTGGTGTTAATGGTAATTGAATAAAATTGGACCTATTTTCCATGCTTATGTTATCTTGCAGGTGGTATTCCATGGGTTCAAGACACCTTGCAGTTTTAGAGAGACAGATAGGAGAGGGAAGGGCAGCAGTGCTGGGTAAGGGGTTGGGTCGGGTGTGAGGTGGTTTCTGGAGTCTTCTTGGTCCTTTTCTGTCTTTTTCAATTATTTTTTTTTCAGTTTTATTATGAATATAAAAAGAAGTTTTAAATCCAACTGTAAACACTTATATTTTTTAATATATAAAAATGATACATGGCAAATTTTAAATGGGAGTATCACAAGCTGATATGGTGATACAGTTCTATTCTATAATTTCTCCCTCACATGGTCTCACACGAAACCAAAAAAAAAATGACTTAATGTCATAAAACAAAAATTGGTTAAAATAAAATTCATCACCAATTATTGTAAAAGTAATTAACACAATTTTTTTTTTCAAGAAAACATGCCTTGTGATATGGTGTGGTAATCTTGTGTAGTTGTTCATTAAGGTCATTTTATGAAAAAAAATAATTTTATTTCAAAAAAAGAAGTAAAAAAGGAACCAATGGAGCACACAAGTGACTCAAACCTAAACTTATAATGAAATTCAAAGTGCAAGAACCAACTTCACTAGAGCCACAATTGTTTAAATATGTTGTATGCTTACGTGCGTGTGTGTGTATATATATATATATATTTCATTCAATGATTCCTCAAATAATTATTTGAGGAACATTCTTATAGGACCTACTCCGCATTGTATTTCACTAATCCAAATGTCTGTTTTGCAAATATTCATTCAAATATCATCTCTACAAAAAAATCACTTAAATTCAATATTATTTGACCATTTAATTAAAATATTGAAATTTAAGTACTTTCTTGAAGCCACCGTGTTCATTGATTTTCTTAGTCTAAATTAAATGTCTTAATGATTTTCAATTTGTCTAATTTTTTTGCAAGGATGATCTATGAATGAAGACTTTAAAAATAAACAGTTTGGATTGGGAAAAAAATTCATAGGGTACCCTAAAGGATGTCCCTCAAATAAAATTATTTCAGGAATTCCTCAATGGAATGGGATTGTATGTATACATGTGAAAAAATTTGGGGGCCCTTCAAAACTGAGGATCATGCGCAATGACACTATATTTGCACTATGTTAGGACCGCCCCCAATGATTTACATTATTTTGATGAAAGTTTCTTTATTTATGTATTTATTTTTTTAAGCGATTTAACTCAAAAACAAAATTAAAAAAAGTTATAATCCTAACCCACTTTCACACCTGCATTCATCATTTGCGGTAACCTAAAAAGACTAACCCGAAGGGCTTTGGGAAAAGTTTATTCAAATTCTCTGACTCCAAAGAAAAAGCAAAGTACTAGTAATACAAAAGCAAAGTACTAGTAGCTTACCCAAAAAATACAGTCACTTACCCAAAAATAATCGCATACGCATATAAATTCGCATTGGCTATGGTAACAAAATACAGTAACTTACCCAAAAATAATCCACCTATCTAGTAATATTTTATCTTTGGATCACTAATAGGCAAATTTAATACTAAAACATTACGTCTTCTTAAAAAAGTAAATAAAAAAATGAAAACCTTCCAATACACATAATACTATCTTATCCAAAATAATTACCGTATTAATTTTTAGTGTGCATGCTTCGACACAAAGTAAATTGCCCATGACTTACCTTTTTAAGTCCATTCTTAACTTTTCCTCTTGTTGACCACTCTCGCACACTATATATAGGCCGACCCTCTCGAAGGGGGCTCTTCAAATTTTTTTCATGTGTATATATTGAATGTATATGTGAACGGTGTTGCACGGCCTTGACTATATACACCTCACAGAAGAAAATTCCTCCAAAGTCGACAGTTAAACAAAAGGTACGACCAAGGAAGAAGATTCAAATTTATGGTAGAGTGGAGAGCACATCTTGCTCTAGTCAACTTGACTAAGCTTATATCTATGGTACAACCGCTTAATATACATCTACTTATAATGCTTCTTTCTGTTAATTAGTATGTATATCTAAAGGTGAAGTACAAACTTTATGGATGGATAATTCCTTCTTCTTTTTTTTCTTTTCTAATAACGCTGAAGTAAGTATATTTCATGTCAGATGTTGAAGCTAGGGAATTACCAACAAAGTATAATGGAGGGTCATCCTCCTGTTGGCAGTAAGAACAAGGGCAAGGAAATCAAGATCGAGAGGGGCATGGAGAAGCAGCAGCAAACTAGAAGAAAAATCAAGATCAGCAGGAGGAAGCAGTACAAAATTAAGATGGCCAATGATGATGAGGAGGGCCCATCTAGTCGTTATAATCCAATATTAGTGTTTAAGCAACTTTTGCCACATCACCAAGAAATTGATGACCTTGTAACTGGAAAAGAAGTCTATGAACTTTGTTCTCATCTCCTAGGTCCATGCATGGATGACAAGTCATCACTTACCAGTTCTTCAGAAGATTATATCAGATTGAAGACTCCATGAATAGGTTTAAGCTTTATTTAAATGTGTTAGGTCAAGTTATGGTATTATATTTTAGCCCCAAGCATGTAAACGGTTTCTCATCATCATATGTACTGGTTTTGTCTTTTATGAAACCTCATCAACAATTTGTTCCAATAACTATTTCTTTCTTTATTTGAGCATAACTTGATTGACTCAATTTTTTGTTTTTATTTCTATGGTGTAATTATAAAATTTTTTTTTTATAGCCAATTTTGAAAGAGATTTCAAGTTTGAATGCCCCCAATGATAAATAAAGGATTTTCTTTCAAGCTAGATTATACCTAAATCAAACTTTTGCCGTTTTTTACCATCTACTAATTGCTTTGTTAAATGCATATGCAAATATGTGAAATTTTTCCTTTAGCCAAACGATATATATCATTGATAAAGGAAGAAAGGCTCGATTACAATACCCAACACATGAAATCAATCACTTGAATTTA